AAAAAGTATAAACACGTTAGAATGGAACTGACGAATTTACTGCAAGCAATATGTCAACGGTGGCAAACTACAAAAAGTAAATTTGCCTAGAAAAACCACAACAGCCCAAAAAATGCTAGGATTGGTTCTGCAACGTCATGTAAAGGATACGCAACTAACTAACAATATGTTAACTGCATAGCCGGATAATGAAGATAATGATGATGATGGTGATATTGATGATGATAATGGTGGTACTGATGTTGATGGATGATGATGGCTGATGACGGATGATGACATTCATGATAATGGTGATAAAAGACGTTTTAAAAAAAAAGGTGCTCCTCCGTCTTTGTACACTATCATGTAGAAATAATAGATCCTGATCTAGAGATTTCACCCATCGAACCACATAAATGTTGCCCGTCTGTGGTGAATACTCAGAGCAAAGAATATAGTGCACGTTATCGTCTAGCCAGGATTATTTAAAACAGAATTGTCCTTTTAGACCAGTGACCTGGTAGGTTTAATGATCCCCTTGACGCTTTGTGAGTTAGCACAAGAGGGAGATAATTGAGTTGAGAAAGAGCATTGAGTCTTTAAACAGATAAAGTAAAAACACTGTCATGCGGTGAAAGGGATAGACATTGACGTATTCTAGGAAAGCGAATACGAATTGAGGTGATTAATTTAACTCTATGAGCTTTTTCTTGAAATGTGTCTTTGCATAGTTATACGAGTTGACCTGTAGCTTAGGCGTTGCAATTAATCTTCCTAATTCCGCTCTACTTGGTTCGATCTTAGATGGGGGCGAATTGGCAGCAGACTCCTTGCGTTGATTTCGGCATGATATCACAACATACAGCTTAAGAGTGGAGGTGGGGGCGGTCACTGCAGCTTTCCACTGGCTAGAGAATACGACACACACACACATCGTGATTGTTACTGACTCAGTTAGCATGCTGAGGAAGATCAGAACTGAAATGCTTCGTGCAGAGTGGCATGCTTCGCTGCGGAGGACACGGGTGAGGAGTATTGTCTGGATTATTTCATTGGGGACGCCGGTGTGTTGGGAAATGAACAGGCGGAAAGACTGGCTGGCTCTGCACAACATGGTGGAATACTGATACATGATAAGGCAGACGTGGTTAATGCCTTGTGGGAGAGCGTGTACAGTTCGGAGGAGCAGATGGATCACCACAGTCTGGTGAGACTGATGCAGCGGGGAGTGGCGAGAGGTTCTGGCAGAAGATCGAGGCTCAGAGGAAAGGCAAGACGGACGTTTAATCAGAATGCATTGACACCATTAGTATCGGAACTCTTCGCTGGCTGCTGAAGATGGGGACGAAGTGCTAATGGGAATGCTCCGAGAGCTGTTATGTCGGTTCTTCAATCAAATCAAATCAAATTAAATCAATTTCAACAACGGTATTGAGAGCTGACCGTCCAAAGAGCAATGGCAAACTACTGAACGTAAAATTGTAAAGTAAAATCAGAAAGCCAACAAATGTTGGGGTTGTTTCTGCAACGTCCAGGTGGGCCACGGAGAAGTCTAGGCGGACAGCCAAACATTTCTACCTCATGATAAAACAAGGTAACTTAGGTAGTGTTTTCTTTTCTTCTCAGGATTGTAGTCTTTAGGATTAGCACCTCAAGGGTAAGAATCGAATCGGTACATGTAACAAATGAATCGGAAAATACAGACCTTAGCTGACAATTTTAATTATCATTCAAAAAAAAAAAAAAAAAAAACTGCTGATCGAGCTGATTATCATAAAAAATAGCTGGTGCTACGCAGCTGTGAAGTCAAACAGTTGATCACGAGAAATCACACCCAGAGGATCTAGTTATCTACACATATGGTTCGGTGTTGAGAGGGAAGAGAAGTGCCTGGTGATTCCTCGCGAAAAAAAATCTTTTTTGCAGGACAGCCTTGCATACGATACCTCAACATCTAGCATGAGAATGGAGGTGGAGGCGGTAACTGCAGCTTTCCGGTGGCTAGAGAACAAGATGCATAGACATGTCGTAATAGTAACTGACCCAGAAAGCATGCTGAGAAAGGTAAAGACAGGGATTCTTCGAGCAAAATGGCAAACTTCACTTTGAAAGTCACGGGTAGTGAGCATACTTTAGATCTTTTCTCTAGGGAATGCCGACGTAGTGGGAAATGAACAGGCAGTTAGACTGGCTTGATCTGCACCGCTGGGTGGTGAAATGAAACATGACAAGGCAAACATGGTCAAAGCCCTTTGGGAACAAGCTAAGGAGTAAGAAAAGAAACAAGATTATTGTGGCCTGGAGAGAATGGAAACCAGGGTGTAAGCAGAGGGTCTAGCCGGCTCACTACACTCAGAGAAAAAAAGCAAGACGGACATATAACCAGATTACGACCGCTACCATTAGTATTGAAACTCTGTGCTGGCTGCTGAAGATAAGGACAATGCATGCATGGCAATGCCACGAGTGCTGTTATCTCAATTCTTGGCTCAACTCAACTGAACTCACTAAGGCAACCGGAGAAAGAATAAGAAGAGCAATTGTAGATGAAGTAAAAAGAGGGGGTAGGATAAAGAGGACGATGCAGCGGAGGAGGAAGAGATGGATGTGGTGGAGGAAAAAGAGGAGACGCATCGGCAGCAGCACGTTTAAACAAAAATAAAATGACCCAGAGGGTTTATACAATTCCCAAAAACCAAGAGGTTTTCAAATAGGCGGGAGCCGGAAGACAACTTATCACAGACATCAGAAGGAGACAGTCATCATGAGAAGAGGGAAAATAGAACATGTTGTGACCGCTGGAAAGATCTGTGGAAGGAGGGATAGATGAAGACAACGAGAGAAGATTCCTGACAGTCTTGTTGCATGGCATGGAGGTGTGTTGGCACACGAACTGATACATGCTGCAGTAAGTAAAAAGACAAGTAAAGATCCCTTTTCACGCCTTAGGCGCATCGGGTATATGGGCAGAGCATCCCATATTTTTACAGAGCAGTCGGCACTGGATGGGTAATGTTGTCAGCATTACGCCGACCGTCTTTACTTCCCCAGGACAGCCATCCTGGTACCCATTTTAGGCTGGGTCGACCTGTGACACCTCATACCATGATAAAAATCCACGCTGCCAGCAGTGGGTTTCGATCGCGGTACGTTGGATTACGATTCGGACTCGCAACGCCTAAGCCACTGACGCCAAAATACATGCTGCAGGAGATCGCAGATTGTGGAGAATCATGATCGCCCACACCAGTCGGCAAGGCACTTGATGATGATGATGATGATGATACATTTTCCACGACCGGACGTTCTCGACCATTTAGGTGAATCTGACGTCACAAGTAATCGCTTCCTTAGAAACAAATCATGGCGCTTGTTCCACTGAGATTGTTTATATGTGACACCGAAATTTAAAATTCACACTGAGGTAAGGTAATCAAATTAGTTATTCTTCTTCTTCTTCGTTTCCTCTTCTCTAGGATATCGAGGTTCTGCTTCTTGAACTTGTGATCGCCGTGACCATAGACATATCGTGCCGTTGTAGAATTTCTCTGATGTGATCTTTCCATATTGTTTATGGCTTTATGGTCTACCTTAGGTTCTATTCCCCCCCCCCCCCCACCCCCCCCCCCCCTTGAATGGTTTATATACTTTTTTTTTTTTGGTGTATGCCTTGAATGGTTTATTAAACTATTTACAATAGGGAAACGGAAATACTTTAAGGGCAGTAAATTAACTAGTTGTTTGTCCACTTCTGGACTTTGGAGTGGAAAAGAGGGAACGACACAAATGACATAATAAGGGTTAGGGGTAGGGTTAGGGTTTTGGGTTAGGGTTCGGGTCAGGGTTAGGGTTAGGCTAATGTGAGTCGCAGCGCGTGGTCTAGACGCCATGTTGAACTCACTGTGTTTTGTGATTCGTGCCTTGTCCACTCCGTAATTGCACTGCAGCCAGGGGACTGAACTCCGACTAAGCGGCCGTCGCCGTCCAAGTAGCGACCGTTATTGCAAGGAGAACCGACTTTTGGTTCCTCGCATTCCATGCAGATGCACCCCTCCCCGTCAAAGACAAAACTCCTAATTAGTCGCCTTTTACTACACGTTTGTTAGAGGCAGCAGGTATCCTCCAGGCCCAATGCTGCAGATTGAGAGTTGTAACCAGAAAACTGGATGGGTCACAAGAAGTGAATGAACGTATAGCATGTCAGTTGAAAACAACAAACGTATATTGAGATCCCTGGTACTGAATGAGTTAATTGTCGAATAAATTAAACTTTTAACCTTATCCATTGTTGAATGGTCCCTATTTACAATTTTATGGTGTTGTAGCAGCGATTTATAGCTTAAGGATATCCATCACAGGCGTGAGGGAAACCCGAGTCTGGTGTGCAGTATGTAAGGGGATACCTCGTACGAATGCTCTGTGCTGGTTTGTCGGAACTTCAGGCAAGACTTCTACCGTACGTCCACGTTGTGCGCCACGGATAATGGCCTAACAGAGCTGGTAGGACATATTGGAGAGGACATTTTGGAGGGTGTCCAGAATTCCTCTGGCTTTCCTCGATTCCCCCACCCCCACCCTCATCCCAAAACATGGGTGATAACGTTTGTCGATGACTCATTTATAAATGAGTGATGTTGACAGGGATGAGCTTCATACTAGAGACACATTCGTTTACGTGTCTTTTGATCACGAGTCCTGCTGTATGGTAAGTTGCTTCTTTAGGGCACAGTAGGTTCAGACTAGCCACGGTCATCTTAGAAATAGGATTAGCGTTTTATTCGAAGTGTGAGTGCGTCAACCTGAAAGGTAAGGGTTCAACATACTGAATACAAATAAGCAAGATCAGTACAACGGATGAGCACGAAAAACTCAAATCCTGGGACAAATCCAACGGCCAGAAATTGACGAACTACTAGGAGTTTGCAGACGATGAATGCAAACATACAACAAATAAACAACAGCGATTTGAAAAAAAAAAGTATGTTAAGTGCAATGGTTTATTTATTATTTTAGAATTCAAC